CTACGGAAGGTTCTGAGAATCAGAATCCGACGTCCTAACCAACTAGACTAATAGACCTGAAACGGCTTATTGACTGTTGTTGGAGGAGCTGCTTCCGGCGCTCATGATCCCCAGCCCGGGTGGAGTCCTGACGCGGATGGCACCCCTCTCGTCGCCTCCGTCACGAGCCCCTCATCGCGAGGCCCTCAGTCCAATGACAGCCATTTTCCGGCCCAGTCTAACTGAGAGCCTCAACCCTCAGGGAGATCTCTCTGGAAGTCCTAGTTGGAGAGACCTCAGTGTTTGCGCGCCGCGCAGAACGGACCTTTGGCGTTCATCACTCGGTCCAGCGTGTCGTCGTTGCTATCCCAGTCCTTGACGAGGAGTTGCTGTTTCCGCCGAGCAAAGCCAGCGTCACGGTTACGATACACGGAGTCGATTTTGCGCACGTCGTTCTTGTCACTGGTCATCCACCGCAGCTCCTCATCGATGAACCTCGTATAAGTCATGTCGGTACCGAATCTGGCCTTGACATTGGCTTCGAGGTGGGCATCAACCGCCTTCTCAAGGGCCTTATCGCCCTTCGTTGGCGCCGATATCGAGTGGAGCTCTGGCATCGTCGCATCTGCCGACGGGTTGAATGTAGGCTCTTTGCGATGCGGTTCGGGAAGAATGGAGTCAGCGCTGTAGTACAGCAAGGAGCTGTTCAAGACAGCGGCGTCGATCCTTCGCAACTCTGGCGGTGTGATCGGGCAGTGGCCGAGGTTCAGGTACTCGAGAGTCTGATTTGTCGACAACAGCTCGCAGAGAACTGGAGCAGAGGCATTTCGGATGTAGTTCCATGCCTGGCCGAGGTCGAGGGTCGCATATGCCTGGCCTACATCCAACATGCGCATACCGGGATGCGACGTGACAGCCCGGAAGATGTCAATGGCGCCTTCAGTAGTCAGACCGGCAGATTGGAGTGACAGACGCTGGAGTTGGGTGGCCTGGCGGATTCCGGAAGCGAGCACCTGCGCGCCTTCATCGCCCAGTGGGTTGCATGACAGGTAGAGCGAGGCGATTCCGCAGGCAGGGGAGGATAAGAAAGCGGCGATGGCAGAGGCCGCCTTGGTCGATATGCCGTTTCCGTTGAGGTATATATTTCGCAGGGGTAGTTTCTTACGGCCGGGAACCACCGCAGAGGAGAAACTTGTTAGACGTTGGAAGAGCTCTGCGATGCCCGCATCACCCAGCTCAGTCTGGTCGAGGTCCAGAGTGCGGAGGTTTTTTGTCTCGGTGATGAGCCGGAATACATCTGCAGCGGCCACGGGACCTAGCGGGTTTCGTTTCAGCCAGACGTTCGTCACTGCGTCTGAGTCTACCAAGGCATCGACGAGGACCCTGAAGCTGGTGGCGTCGATGCAATTACCTGCCAAGTACCAAGTATCCATGCGTTCGGGGAACTCGCGGATGAAGCGCGCGATCTCCTGAGCCCCAACCGGGCCAATGATATTGTTACCCAACAGGAAATGTCGTACGAAGGGGTTCGGCCGTAAGCTGTCCATCAGGCTGCCAATGTGGTCTGGACCAACGACCATTTTGCACAGATCCATGCGACCGTCTTGGTAGACGACACCTTTGCGAAACTCTGCTCCTTTGACGCCATAGAAGGGTTCGCCTTTGCCGCCATCGAGACGTGTGCCTAAGCTGCCGGAAGCCTCGTCAAGCTCGTGGGTGCCGCCACGCTCAAGGTGGTTGAAGAACGGCGCCAGGTCGGCGGCGTCGGCAACGGAAACGGGCATCGGGATGGCTTTAGTGCCAGCAAGGGACACGGGGAATTTAGACGGGTCCCACGGGCCCTGGGCCAGGATGCGGGACGCCCACACAGGCGCATGCACGCCCGGGGCAGCCCCGCCGGTCAAGCCGCGGAAGCTGTGGCCGTTCCGTTTGGTGGCGGCAAAGATGTCGTGTTTCCGCTGCAGGGCAACCCATGCACGCAACTTGACCCTCGCCGCGTCGTACCGAATGACGGGTGACACAGCATTATCGTGGGTGGCGGGATACAACAGCGTTGCAACGGCCTCGGCGAGGCGAGATCGCGCAGATTTCCGGCGCGGGAGACTGAATAGCTCGTCTGGCAGGCGAATTCTGTCCATGGGTAGTGAAAGAATCTCATCGGCCGTGTACGATTTGGCGTGATCAAAGTCTGGCATTCTAGCATCGAGAAGATTGAAAGCCTCTCGGCAAAGAGCAGCGAGGCGAATTGCTTCTGCCAAGTCATCTGGAGTAGCATTACTGCCATCAACCGTGTTTTTGGTAGGCACGGTTGGGGTTAAGGCATAGGGCTGGCGGTAGCCGTAATCGCCCAATATTGAATTGGCCGATGTAAGCTGGAGTGTTGCGGCAGAAGCCATTTTCGTGTCAGGGATTGGAGATGCGAACAGGTATTGGTAGTGTTTGATGGCCAAAGTATTGACGTTACTGTGTTTGCGTTGATAGTATAATCCGGACAAGGTAAGAAGCTCGGCATGAAGCAGACATGACACTTATATGTTGAGCATCATGATTCCTAGATGAACGAAGTGACTGGACCATTTGTCGACTTCTCGTGGCGAGTGCCTAAAGGTGTGTAGTTGAGGGCATCTTCCATTCGCTTCTCCGCACGGCCATACCTTAATCCAAGTCGATTTACGCTTACTCTGGGGCCGTTGAATGAGGCTATGGCTTCGCCAAGGGTAGAGCTTCTAGGCAGCAAGTGCCAAAATGTATTGACGAATCAGAGGCGCGGATGATAGCCAGAATGGGATCTTTCATGGCTGTATGTGCTCCGTATTGAATGTCAATGTCGTTGCAAGGGCGTAGTTGACGAGAGTTTGACATGTCATGTAGATGTCGAATCTTATTGACATGAGGTGACCGAAAGTAGTCACAACATCAGACGACAGTACCTACTTAGGCAAGGCAGACAACAGACAGGGAATGGAGATGGAAGCCACTGGTTCGTTCTGTCTGTTGTGCTCCGTACGTAGTACACACAGGGTACGTATACAAGTACTGCACCTCCTGCTCTTTCCACGTTTCGCAAACGGCAGGCAGAGATGACTGCATGACATGGGTGGCTGGTGAGCTGATGACATGATGTAAGTTGTGGCTGGAAATGTGGCTTGCGGCATTGCAAACTTCACCAGCCACACATCACGAACCACACCTCCTCCACCACCACCACTCAACCTCCACTTCTCACCACCAACTCACGACGCTTCTTGGCTGCGATGCAGCACCAACCCACCCACACCTCTTTTCTTCCCCCTCTCCCCCTTCGCAAGCACCAAACCGGCACCTCACTCACACCTCGGAGCTTTTCAGCTGCAGCGCAACATCAAACGTCTCTATCCCTTGCCCGTCACCTTGTCCCCCGGCCTTTCCAATGTTGCATCGCAGGACGGCTCACATTCATTGCCCAGGCCTTGTCTCTCCGCCCGCATTGCAGCCCTGTCTCGTTGCCATTTGCTTTCTGTCTGACTCTGTCACGGAGGTCGCAGCTGACCGCGAAGTCTAGGAATCCACCGCAATCAATCTGTGTAACACAGCGCAGACCACGTCAACAAACGCCCATCACGTCGCCCAAGGGCCAAACATTATGTGTGTGTGTGTGCCAGCTATTAACCGCAGCACACTGTCACCAGTCACCACACCCCATCCGCCGTTCCCAGCTCTGCTATATAACCTGCTCCCTGCGGTTATTAATTTAGCACATTTGTGATTCGTCGGCTGCACCTGTCTCGACCTTGTCTCTCAAAGTCTCACATCGCTCGCGCTTGGACGAGACACTTTGCTTTTTCCACCTTGCTTCTTCGACGGCATATACACACACACACATGCCCACACTATTACTCTTTTTCTCACGCCATGTCACAACGTACCTATACAGCGGTGAGCAGCCAGTGGAGCGCGCCGGTACTTTTCTCATCTTCGTCAATCGCCCGTAACCCATTCCAGCCGTTTTCGTGAATCTTCGGATGGCTTGGAGCAAGGAATCTCAAGTTTCTACCAACAGCGAACAAACTTCCGTGGGAGCAAACAATCCCGCTGACTGCAGCATGCTGTCGCCTCGTCTTGCCTGTGCCTGTCCACCCCGTTGGCCAATCCTCTCATCTTCGCTTGGACTTGTCTCGTTTCGTTCTGCCCATGCGGCAGCGGACGAGGGCAAAGAGAAGTAAAAAATGATATATCGTGCAGCATCCCACGGCTGCAGCCCGCTCTCATGCGAGCAGCCGACCACTCACAGACCCTCGGGACCACTTTGCTTTTTGCCGTCATAAATTCTCTCCCTCGGGCATCGACGCATGCGATCAATCGGCAATGCCACAATTTCGGCCGGTTGACACGAGGCTCTGAATCGGCTAGCGACATGCGGGAGTGCGTACCGGGCCTCTTGATTGGAGTCTACATTGCTTTTTTGCATAAGCAGGATGACGATCTCTTCGGGAGGCATGCAGGGAGGGGCAAGCCATCGAGGCTGTGGGAGACACTTACGCACGCTAAGAAAACAAGATGGTGGTGTGTCTCCCAAGTTCCCGGTCAGGCGGGGGTGCCTCTTTTATTTTTGCCTTTTTCTTTCCAACACCCTCGACAGCAGCACCAGCTGTATAGACGAGGTTAGCCCTACCAACAGCCCTCTGAAGTGTGTTGTGCGTTGGATGTGACGATGAAGAAGAAAACACTCTGCCCTTGGCATGTTGGCTGGAGAGGGATTGGCCCGCGCGGGGAGATGCAAGACAAGCTGTCTCGGTGTGTGGTCCAGCTGGCTGACCGCTCCCCCTTTGGTCCGATCGTTTGGTTGCGTCCTACTGTTGCGTTGCGGGAAGAAGTCTTTCCGTATATATGCTCACGGCCTGCTGACGAGTGAGCGCCCTACGTTCACTCTTTTCTCACGGTTTGAGGCTGCTGCGTTCCGAAAAGCAAGGCTTCTTCTCTTCCACTTTCGTCTGATTTTCCCTATTCAGTTCAGTATGTCATCCTTTCCAATGTTTGCTCCCATGCCACGCAGAAACGTGGATGGGCCAGTCTCCCACGCCAAGTGGCCGACAGTCGACGCCTTCCGCTCCACATCGACATCGTCACCATGGGATGTAGATGATTCCACGGCCCAGACCGTCAGCAAGCTTAACTGTGTCTTTGGTTTCCGGCCACCAAACGCCTACGCCAAGCAACCACCTCGAACATCCCCCGATGAAGTATCCAGATATTCTCCTGATATCCAACATTTACGTCTAGACCAGACCCCTGAGCTACGACAAGACACCCCTTCAGATGGGCGGACACGGACATCTTCCTTTGGACCAGAGACGCCTCCTACCAAGTTCGACTCATACTTTGCGCCAGAACCGGTCGTCCAGCCTCCAACACCGAGTCGGCCTGTCCATGCCCATCTACGCTCCCACTCGGATAGCTGCAGCGTTACAAGTCTCTGGCCAGATAGCCAAGGCCCATATCGATATGGGGGTGAAGCAACGTCAAATCAAGGGATCGATACCAAGCAACATGGCTATCTTGGCGCAGCAGCATCTCGCTCGGGAGATAACTCCCAGCCTCAACGGCAGTCTCGCGAGGCATCATCGCCTCACCAGAACTATACCGTCACCCTCACCCGCAACAACCGCGCCGTCACTCTCATCCTGCAGCAAGGCCGCCCTACAAAGCAAGGGCAAGCAACCATCACATGCTACCGCCAAACTTCCCTGGCTCTGGGAGGACCCTACGCCGAATTCTTCAAGGCATCCGAGGCCCTGGTTCTGCTGCAGCACATGGTGAACGCATCATCAATGTCATTTGTGCCCTTTAGCAAACGGGAACGATCCGAGCTGATGCTCCGCATGCGAACTTCGCCAGACGCCATGATTCTCGGTGAGCCTTGCTCCAACGCACGCGCGTGGACGAGCTTCTTCTCCACGGAACTCGGTGCTGGAAGGGCCTGGGAGGTAGGCACCGTCATCTTCCCCTGGAAGGTGCTCGAGAGGCTGATGAGCTCTCTCAATTCCGAGTTCGCGCGCAAGAGGAGAGTGCAGTCTCGCGCTGCCGCCGCGTTTAACAGACGAGAGGCGGAAGAGCACACGGGACCAAGAGGAGGACGCGGAAGCACGGCCTTTCAGCACAGCTACAGCCACTCCTACGACTCCAGCCCCGTATCTCTGCACCTTGCCGGTGCAGAGCATGGTAATCTCGAAGCCGCAGCAGCAGCAGTAGCAGGGGACCGCAGCTCCGTGGCATCCGGGTCGCCACCCCCTCGTACACCAACAGAGATTCTGCCGCCCAAGCTGCAACTCCTGTCGGAACAGCGCACCTCTCAGATTCACCAGTCTCCTCCCCCTCCGCCTGCTCTGGCGGCCGTGACAGCCGCGCAAATCCGAACGCGCAGACGCCAGCACTCTGAGCCCGCCGTCCGACGCCTAAGCCTGACGCCGCCGCGCATCTCGCTACTCAAATCCAACAACCTGCGTCGGCTGCACGCTTCTTCGACGCCGACGCGGCTCGAGTTTTACGACTCGATCCGGGCGTGGCCTGCTAGCTCGCACCGAGCGCGTGTGAGGCTGCCGCCGTGCTCCCGATTCCTGGAGATGGTTGAGGACCAGGGGGTTGATTCTCATAACCCGATTGTGGTTTGAGGCCTGACTCTTGGGTCCGGCTTTTATTCTCCTGCATTACTACATGTAGCTTCTTCATGTGTTTTTTCTTCTTCATTCTTCTCTTCTATTCTTGTGTGTGTGGATCAAGTGGCCTGTCAAACACAGGGGCAAGAGTACCTCGACTACGCGTAGCAGCATTCCACCCCTCTACACAGCTGTTGTTGGGGTTCAAGACTTTTTAGACAGGATTACTACCCATATGTGTACACGGGAAACAAAAACGGGGAACTGAACGGGTTTATGAGAAATGGACTATGTGAAATGGAAAATGAAACGAACGATACAAAACAATTGTTAGAAATAGGGCAGGGTTCTTGAGGAGAGGCACTTTAGATAGAGAGAGAGACAAACAGGATCATGCGGTTTTTTCGCTGGGCGAAACCGCCAACTCAGACGGCAGGATCCTGATGAACGGGAAGAAAGAAGTGGTGTTACACTCATGATGAACAGCGTCCTCGCGGATCTTGTTCCATGTATTACAAATGGTTTGACGAAGTTTGGGTTAGGAACATGAATATCATTGAGCATAGATAACTATGCCAAGTACGTCCTTGACTTTGAACTGGTCTCCTCCCTCTCTGTTCCCCCTTTTTTTTCTGCAAACAGCAATTGTGAGTCACTTGGAATGGTAAAGGGTTTACGTCCGTAGCTGTGCGATGGGACACATCGCATCATAGCTCCGAGCTTAGTTGAAAGTTTACTTGGTCAGGAATGTCCATCCCGTCTCTCACGTGCCAGATCGGACATGCGACTCGCTACGCGATCTGAGACCGTTTGAAATACGGCCGGAGAATTTGGAGGTTGTGGAATGTATTTGTAGATTGGCAGCATCGATTCTAGAACTTGCGAGGCGCTCGGGTTAGAGTTTAGATATACTACGTAATCGGGCGGGAAGTCTTTGGAGAACTTGCCCAACATCAGCCAAGTGATTAGCAGAGTCTGCGAAATGCAGCTGGACAAAAAAACCCGACCTGACTCGTGAGATCGTGCGCAAAGCAACCCCTCCACTTTCAAGAGTATTTCGCTTCGGTCTCTTGTAGATAGCACAACGTCAATAGCAACCCGTGAAAGCAAAGCACGTTGTACTCCGTAGAATGGCCCTCAACCCGTCGTCGCGATGCACTCCTCAGTATCCGCAGGTAGTCCTCTGGATGGTTCTGCCCATCAAGTGCTCGGGGTGCTCGAGGTTCTCTTGGCGCTGATGCTTCCCGGAGTTTAAGTTCGAACCACTCCGTCGGGCACAGGGGACCTATCTTCTCCCACCGCAGGGACCAGGATCGTTGCAAATACACTTTTTTATCAAAGGATGTAAATCAAGAAGACCAATGGCAGCTTTAAGCTCTCAGCACAGGTAACACAGCGCGTCGACAAACTTCCCAAACTTGAGACGAACGTCGACGGGGTTGTCCATGTTCACCCACTGCCGGGGAAGCCGCGCCGCGATCCACTTCTCGCAGGACTTCATCTTTTAGAGTTTCTGGTGATGGAGCTGTCTGCGTCTCCCCTCCGCCCCCTTTTGACCGGGTTACAGGATCATGATCATCCCAGCCATTTACTGCGTAGATGCTGAAGGCCCCGCGTGCGTGTGGAGGCGCGGTGAGATATAAGTCTCCGTCCCACCTCGTTCCCGTGGGGGGGCGGGCATCATGAGGTTCTCGCCAACTACACGTCTCTACTCACCACAGTCACTCGTTCCCTGGCATCTACTCACCTAGACGTAACTCAACCGCGAATCTGCGATCGACAAAACACCGTTCACAACCGAGTAACATCCTCCCCCGAAACGAGAAGCAATAATGGCCCGCTCAACCCTCGCGCTCCTCGCTGTCGCAGGCCTCGCATCGGCAGGCAGCCTCCTGGCCCCGCGCCAGGACAACGAGACGAAGCCGGCGGTCGACATCACGGCGCTGAACAAGAACGTCTCGGCGACGACGGGGTCGGGCGCTGTTAGTGCCGCGGGGACGCTGGCGCCGTTTGGCGGGATTGGGGTTGGTTGTGGGATTAATTGGGCTGAGGGGCAGTCTTTCGGAGGTGAGGTTTTGAACAGAATGAAAGAGGATGTCTGGCTTCCAAGATTCTCCTGAGTTGGGAAGTTTTGGGAGTGAGTGAGGAGATGAATGTGGAGACTGGGTTGGATGTGGTTGTGCGAGGAGAGGATACGTAAGAGAGGGGTTGACTATGCTCTTGACCACCCAGTTGAAGGAATTCGAGGGCGATGAGGTGTCTATCTTCTTTCAACACACGATGACGAGCTAACGTATTTTGTGTTCACCAGGTGGCCTGCAATCCGGATCCGAAGCCTTTGGTCTCGGCGGTGGCTTCACAATCACCAAGGACACGATGAACATTGGTCTGGGAATCGGCATCAACCCCATCAACTTCAACTCCAGGTAAGCAGAATGAAACTCAAAGCACTCAAACCGCCTCACTGCGGGCTGGGCCATTACCACCCCGGGTTCCCCTTTGTCCGAAATCTGGACCAGAAGTGCAGGAGGTTTGAGAAGAGGGACACGGAAGGCCCACGCCTGGCCCAAACCCTTCATGTTTGCTTCTTTTCCTCTCCTTGAAAAGTTAGACGATGCTAATACCTTGATCTTCTCACAGTGTCAGCTATGAGGCATCGACTAACGGCACCGTGAGCTTGGTGTTTACTTCGACTTCGGCGATTAAGTGCGAGGAGACGACTGTTGATGGGGTTAAGGGCGTCAAGTGTACGTCTACCTGAACTGTCTGGGTATCAGGAGGGTCCCGTAGTCGTTGTTTGCTTTGAGCGTGTTGAAAATCTAGACTACTATTTGCCATCTACAACCCCCCATGCCGCGAGTAACTCTGTGAAGACATGGCCAGCCATAGTGAATTATGAGCATAGCCCCATGGCGTAAATCAGGTAGCTTGGTGCTCGACTTAAGAGTGATCGTGAAGAGGACCTTGAGATACCGGTACCGTGGTTACGGGACAGAATTTACCACGACGATGTTGACGGCCCGCAACTTTACTTTGACCAATTTTTTGCAACGATCATACGGGTTCCTGGGATCTGTGGAATAGAGGGTTGGGGGGCTTAGATAGTCAAAGGTGTATGCTCAGGGAGTGATCAAAACCTCTTGACCTGCGACGATGACTCAAATGTACAGTGCCTCCGCCAAGCTTTTCCTTCACGTAGGGTAGAATCAGTAATAGTCCATAGAGGTTGCGGTGTTCCGATCAAAAGTGTAATTGACTGTCACAGCCTTTTCTTGGCGAGTGGCACCGAGCGTGCTCATTCTCTGAACCAATGGTCTGAGAGCACATTGGAAAGAATTGAGGTTTTTCACAGTGTTAGTCGCCCAACCAGGTGTTTCAATCATACCTCATTTCGCCCGAGTTCTAGTCGACAAGGTTGAGGACGTTCGGAGATAGCATCAAATTAACCATTCTGTCCAAGTCCTAGAACCCATCTCCGTTAACTTTAGGTTCAGCCTTGGTGATCGTGTCGCCATATGATAGATATATAATAGGCAGATGTCCCTTGTCTTGGCAGTCTTCTTGTTTTCTATCTCCTATTCACAACCCATCTCTGCTTCACTACATCGGCATATGTCAGTTCCCAACTTCCCATACAACCAACAAGCAGTTTCTTCTCCTCGACCAGTCTATAGTTTTCTCATTACTCTACTCTCTGAACCCACTCTCTTCTCATTACCTTGCTCTCTTTTCTAATCTCTCTTCACCTCTCATCATCCACCAACCGTAGTCATGTATACTACCATGAATACCCAGACCGCCACCGCCACCGCCGCCCAGCTCTCTCATCGACGTCGTCAATACGGCACCAGTTGGTTTGACAGCGCCGATGAGAGTAGCGGCTACTACGACCTGTGCGCGGTCGAAGACGAGGAAGAGGACGAGAACGAGAGATGGTGGGAAGAAGATTCCTGTGCTATCGAGGACGACGACGAGGACGAATACGACATGGTGCATGATTTCGTACCTGAGGAACGCAAGCAACAGAATCTTGCTGTTCCTAGCATCATGCTCACCACTACCGAGGGAAACGTCTTCTTCGGCAATGCCATCCCAGAGGGAACTTGGTGCACCGAGTCCCGCGAGTCCCTGGATCTGCGCGCAAAACACATCAACAACGCAGAGACGTTCCTCTGCCCAGGCGACTGGAGACAGCTCCGCAACACCTGCCGCCTTTGGCAACAGCAGGAGTATGATCAGCAGATGGAGCAAAAGTGGGAGCTGGAGCAAGAACGACAGGAAGAGGAAAAGGCAGAAGCCGCATTACGCGAGCACCAACAGCTTTACGCGCCCCTGATCTTCCTCACAACCCCCGACGGCGACATCCTCACGGGCGACGAGATCCCAGAGGGACGACGAGCCCATACGTCCCGCGAGGCTCGCCGTATAGAACAGCAATACGCCGCCAAGGCAGAAACGCAGCTCTGCCCGGGCAACTGGAAGAAGATCCGCGGCGCCAACCGCCCCGAGGAGCCAGAAGAAGAAGACGCGGTCCTGCACGTCAACCTGCGCGAGGCAGACGCCGCGCTTGCACTTCCCAAGGGCAGCCGCAGCTGGCAGAAGCGTCTCGCGCGCGTGAACCAGCGCAGCCAGCGGCGCCGGGCGAGGCAGCAGAAGCTCGAGGAGGCGGAGCGGCTCTGGCGGCTGCAGGAGGTTCGGGTGGACGAGTGTGTGGCCGAGAGGAGGGCTAAGATTGAGGCGCTCGAGAAGATTGGCGCGGCGGGGGATTTCCCTGCGTGGAGTCGGAAGATGGATCGGGAGCAGGCGGAGGCGGAGGAGAGGCTTCGGGTGCTGAGGAGGGAGCTTGAGATGATATTTGAGGGGGATTGTGGGGAGAAGGGTGAGGTTGAGGAATGAGTCTATGTTGTTCTCTTTCGCCTCTCTTCGCGGACGGCACTGGTTGCTTCTGGCAGGATAAGCACGAAGCTTTTGTTTTCTCTTCTTAGATACCGCCGGTGTATACTTCTGGTTAATACACGGCGATGATAGGCCATGACTTACAGCCTTGGTTTTGGCGTTTAGGTGTTCTGATAAATTGACCACCGTTTTCTCCCTTGAGCCTTTCCCAAAAGCCGCCAGCCAGTCCTATCGACAAAACATCACCAATGCAATCACCATGTCTGTTCATCCCCCGCAAGAACATCCAAGCTGAATGAGACGCTTATGCAACGGGGTCAAAGTTTCCGTTGAGCAAACAAAATCCCCTGATCCTTCAGCTGTCAGGGGTACGTACCTGACGGATATTGTTCGTGACGAGCCTCATCAACGTTAATGTCTTGCGTGGGTTTGATCTGGTCTGGTTTGAATGAGGCTATTGTCGAGCACTTGCCCTCAAATCAATTGCTGTACCTGCCGCAACACGGTTCTCGTACCCACTGGTCTCCTTAGCTGGTCTATGAAAGGTTTCCAGTTGCTAAAAGTCAGCGATGAGATTTGATACCGAGCCCCATCGGAGCGAGTTGCTTTTGTATGTCGTTGCGCAGAATGGTCCACGTGCTATAAAGTCGTCTCAAGTTGTGTTTGCATGTACAACAGGTGTGCCCTCAGACACCAGCATAGTAAGCTTGCAAGAAATCTATACTTGTGAGGGAGAGAAGGCAAGATGACGGTGGTAGGCCTCCTCCCACATGTACCTCAAAAGTCTAAAAGACCGGATGTTCCTCAGCTGGTCTAACATGTATTAGTGCAGGGAATGACATTTCTTCCGAGGCTTCACCTGTTCGTCAACCTCATCAACTCGCACTGATACTAGTGCTTGATATATTCGTTTACGCAGTGACTATCTTCTTCATCCACTGTCTCGTCCCAACTCGCCTCTTCAGTAGCTTGGGACAGTGAGACGACGTCAGACAGCCAAGCTCATCGTCGATCCAGGGTCCCGGGGATGTCTTGGCAGAGCGTCAGTATCCGGGGAATGCGGGGGAGGCGAAGCGTTCGTTTGCTGTTCGAGCAGGACCTTAAACCACAAGCAGCACAGCATGGAACAGCAAACACACCAACCCCCCACTTGATTCGATTGTTTGTTAGACCCCAATGCAGTAGTTTCGCTGCTCGGTGGTGATGTTGCTGCCTCTCGCGTGACTGATATGCATGACGAGAACATTGAACACGCCAAAAGGTAGGAGGGAAAAGAAGACCCCACATTCACGCCGGCCCAGGGTCCCCACTAAGAGCACTGAAGAAAACCCGACCGATCGACCGAGCGGCCAATCCGCGTCGGCCGGCTCCCAACGTCGACCGGGGGGGCAGGTACCAAATGGGAAGCGTCCCTTCCGTGCCCCTCACGCCGTCTTTTACGGTCTTCCCACCATCATAGGTAGGCAAGGAAGGAAGCCATCACCTCACTCCTGCCTGCATTTCATCGTCCGATTCGGCACCTGTTTCGCGTACGGAAGTAACGTGCTTTTTCTTCGCTTCCGCCTCCTACCACACACATACACACCACCACCCTGACACCCCAGACACCCCAAGACAACCTCACTTTGGACGACCACACCCACTTCGGGAGTTGCAAGACCTCGTCCATCCCCGGATCTTCCAGCTCGTTCCTGTCACCCTGGTCCCCATCTGGCTCTTCCCCGCCAGCCACTGCGCAACCGACGTCACAACAAACTCAGCTACGCTGGCTCAGTACGCTGATACTGCGTACACTGTCACGAAACGAGCAATCAGAAAGTCGCGTGGTTCGATTTTTTGGCACCCACTGTGTAGACGACGGGACTTTTAAAGACAGACTTGGTCGCACACCCCACCGTCTGAAGACACGCCACCTTTTGGATCGTCTTACACCAAGCTTTGTCTACCAACTTTGCCTTACCTCTCATCAGGTAGGCCCAAATCTTCATCCCTTCCTTGCTTGAAACACAAGCCCCGAGCTTCTTTTCTTGCTGGGCTCTTTTCGTTCGTATATAAAATCATATACGAATTCCACTTTTCCATTTCCTACCTATACCCCGCCACTACGACGACAATGGCACCCGAAGTACTTCAACAATTTGCCGTAGGTGGAGGACTCCCAGTAACCAAGATGCAGGATCCGAAAGAGAAGTTTTATCATCACTTCCAAGAGGAAGTCATCAGTGCGTTGGCCCCGTAAAACAAGGACCGAATGGTCGTCTGATGTTTTCTGGGGCCGTATACTAACAAAGAACCCCGCACCAAGGCCTACAAGAGCAGATCGACAATGTGAGCTCCATATCTCAGGTCGGTGGTGAGAGGCAGGACGCCATTGATCACATCCTGGCCGGCATATCGAATCTCTCCAACGAAGTTGCCGACGCTTCCGACTATGTTCCCTCGTATGACCAGCGCAACTACGCTCAGGTAAGTGTGAATCCATGACGTACTCAGGCTTCCTATTGCGTCTCGTTGACACCTCTTCACTTACCAGGCCGTCAAAGCTCTCACAGACAAGTTGAATGAGACCACAGCAAAGCTAGCCCCGCGTTCCCGCTTCCAATTCAAGCCTCGCGGAGCCAGCTCAGCAACAACATCAACCACCAATGACCCAGCCGCGCCCAAAATTGACCCCCGTCTCATTGTAGGAGCCAGCCTTGCCGACCCCCTCCCCCCATCCCGCGGCGGGCCGGTCACCGCTCCCGCAACCCAAGCCGCCACGGAGACGGATACAGACGGCCTCGGTGATCTCCCAAACTTCCCCAAAAACTACAACGAGGAAATGGCCCGCCCCAGCGCCACCAAGGTCCGAAAGCCCAGCTTCTCCACCGCAAAAGACATTGCCATATTCGGCCAGGACGGCCTGCACATCATCCTCCCGTCCTCGGCGTCGCGGGCGACGAGTTCAGGTCGCTTGACCGATCTGAAAGGGTGTGTGGTAGACATGTCCATTGCGCTCTCGGGCCACACCTCGTTTGCGAACCTGGCGCTCAAAAACGTCGAGAGGAGTCTGATTGTTGCGGGCAACGTGGCTGGGCCGGCGCATATCACGGGCGTGTCGGATAGTATCATTGTCGTTTCGGCACGGCAGGTGCGCATCCATGAGTGTAGGAATGTTGATATTTATCTGCACTGCTCGAGTCACCCGATTATCGAGGATTGTTCGAATATGCGCTTCGCGTCGTTGCCGCCTAGCTTTGTAAGTCAAACCACCATATGCCCATACTTTTTCTCTTTTCCTTGTCTCTTTGGAGATATCGGCTGCTGATAGCCGAGCAGGACACCACAGAAGATCCCACCAAGAACCAGTGGGACCAAGTAGACGACTTCAAGTGGCTCAAATCAGAGCCCAGTCCAAACTGGAGCATCTTGCCCGAGGAGAAGAGGCTGCCCGAGGAGATTTGGACAAAGGTTGTGCCGGGCGAGCGCGGCAAGGATTTGCACGATATCCTCAAGGCGGTCGGCGTCCAGAAGCATTGAAAATCGGATGGAACATGCGGTACATCGACGGGATGCGGGAAAGTGAGAGGTCATCGCTACTTGCAGAAGTTTCCTGGATCGAATCCTGGTTTGGAGTTTCAAGGAAGGCGGCTTTGCTAGGTACTGCAAGGTAGGCATAATATGTTTTGGCGCAAGAAAAACAGCGTCCTTCGCTTTTAAAAAATCTCTTCTGTTTGGTAGTTTCGCATTTCGGGGTATCATAGTAATTCAATCTGGCAAAAGCTTTTCGTCCCAATCTCTCTCCCTCTCCTCTTGCATTCGTTCTCCCTCTCCTCCATCTCGCTAGAAGCCTTCTTCCATCGCACGTGTTCCATCCTTCGCATCACTCCGTCTCCATCTTATCCCCCCGTCCCCCCTCCTCATGCCCAAACTTAACCCCCGCCTCCCTCAACCGATCCAACACCTCACGCTGCATCCGTATCCTCTCCTCAAGCTCCTTGATCTCCTCCTCCTGCTCATCAACGGTGCGCTCCATATCCGGGAGGGTGCGCATCTGCGTGCGGGCGCGCTGCAGCTTGTGCTTGAGGGCGTCGGTCTGCGCGGGGACGTCTTTGAGGGAGAGGGGCGCGTTGGGGCTGGCGGCGCCGGCGGCGGAACCGAGAGGGTTGGGCGTGGCGCCGGTGCCGGCTGGGGTCGCGCCTGTGGTGAGGGCGCCGCCGATGGAGGAGGAGGAGGAGCCCGAGGTTTGGATTGCGGTTCGGAGGCGGGTTAGGATGCCTGTTAGTTCGGTGAGGGTGTCGAGGGCGTCTGGGGAGAGGGTTGGGGGTAGTTCGAGGGGGTGAGGCGGCATTTTGGTGGTTTGGTTTGATCTGGTTTCGGGGTCTTGTGTGAATAGAGAGGTGACGTTCTGCGTTGTTGACAGAGTCTGATGTGAGGTGTCGGTGAAACAGGTGATTTGTGGAGAGGTGTCGGGGTATTCTCAGCCTCGCGGTAGGTGCGTGATGGAGAATTATGGTCGTTGGCTGCGTGGTCGAGGCTTGGAAAGTCAATTGAAGCGCCACAGGAGAGGTGTAGGTAGGTGGGATGAGGTGAGGTGAGGTGAGTTGAGGGCAGTTGCTCGGTGAGGTCCGTCCGCGTCCAGGGTCGTGTCAAGCTGGAACGGCAAGGGCCAAGGGCCAAGGGAGGGGGGGAAGCTCCGCCGGGGCAAGGAGCTTCCACGGGCGTTTTAGCGGCGCGGCGATTGGTAGCTAAAAATTGTTGAAAGTCAACAGAGGGGCAGCCGGGCAGCCCGCACCGTTTTTGACGGAGATGGCACTGTACTTAACCCTATCAATACCGTTGGTGATGACAGTGTGATTACGGAGGGCAACGGCACGGATCTATTATCGGCGATACTATGACATAAACCCCCACCAAACCACCGACACCGATAAAACAGCCCAGGCGCTGGGAAAGCTCACTGTACCTAAGAAAAGGTGGTAGGTACATTGGCTGATTCAATCCATCTCCTCAACCACCACCGCCGCCGCCGTGAATAAAAGTCTCCATCTCCCAGAACAGAAAAAATCACGCACTTCCTAGAATTCTCTGCTTTTATCCATTATACCCCCTTCTGTAAAGAAATTGCTGCACAGGAAATAACCTAATTCACCATGGCCAAGACCGACCAGAAGGCCTGCCTGAGTACGTCCAAAGATCTCCCTCCAGACCCTCCGTGCCCCTCGTCGAAGCCCCGCGGTGATGGAGATGGTGGCGGTGGTGTGAGTGTCGTCGAGGCTGGCCACCAAAACCACCAGAACGCGCCGCCAGCAGAAAGAGCCCCCTCGCCTCTCCAGCAACCGCAACCAATTCCCAAATCCAAATCCAAATCCAACCCCGATTACATCCTCACCCTTGCCTACATCATCCTCTATCTCCAAGTCGGCTGGCTAATCTTGTGGATCTTGCGCTCCTACAGTCGTGATTGATGGCTGGGGTGTGCCCGGCGCCGACTCCCCCAAGGATGGCGACGCCATCACCAACGCAAAGACCCCCGTCATGGACGACTTCGCCCAGAGCAAGACCGGATACTGCGAACTCGACGCCTCCTCCATTGCCGTCGGCCTGCCCGAGGGTCTGATGGGTAACTCGGAGGTCGGTCACCTGAACATTGGCGCCGGCCGTGTCGTCTGGCAGGACGTCGTGCGCATCGACCAGACTATCAAGGAGGGCAAGTTCGCCGACAACGAGGTCATTAAGAAGACCTTTGAGGGTGCCAAAAACGGCAACGGCAGACTGCACCTCTGCGGTCTCGTCTCCCACGGTGGCGTGGTGAGTTCCGGCCCATCCTCCAGTTCAAGATGCATGACAGTCTAACACACACAACCCTCCCCAGCACGCCAAGCAAGAGCATCTCTACAACCTCCTCAAGGCCGCCAAGCAGTACGGCGTCCCCAAGGTCTACATCCACTTCTTCGGCGATGGCCGTGACACCGACCCCAAGTCCGGCGCCGGCTACATGGAGGAGCTCGTCAAGACCGCCAAGGAGATTGGCATTGGTGAGATCGCCACCGTCGTCGGACGCTACTACGCCATGGACCGTGACAAGAGATGGGAGAGAGTCCAGATCGCCCTCGACGGCTTGATCAACGGCAAGGGCGAGGAGAGCACCGACCCCGTCAAGACCGTCAAGGAGCGCTACGCCAAGGGCGGTGACAAGGACAAGGACGAGTTCCTGACTCCCATCATTGTCGGCGGCGACGAGGGCCGCATCAAGGGTGAGCATCTCTTTCCCCAAAACCCCATACTTCATAACTAACATGAATCCCCAGACGACGACACCGTCTTCTTCTTCAACTACCGCTCCGACCGTGTCCGCCAAATCACCCAGGTGCTCGGCGACGTCGACCGCTCCGTCCTCCCCGACTTCAAGTTCCCCAAGATCAAGAACCTCGTCACCATGACCCAGTACAAGGTCGACTACCCCTTCGAGATCGCCTTCAAGCCCCAGCACATGGGCAACGTCCTCGCCGAGTGGCTCGGCAAGCAAAACGTCGAGCAGGTCCACATCGCCGAGACGGAAAAATACGCCCACGTCACCTTCTTCTTCAACGGCGGCGTCGAGAAGGTCTTCGCCCTCGAGACCCGCGACGAGTCCCAGGACCTCGTCCCCTCCAACAAGTCCGTCGCCACCTACGACCAGGCCCCCGAGATGTCGGCCGACGGCGTCGCCGACCAGGTCGCCAAGCGCCTGGGCGAGCAAAAGTTCCCTTTTGTCATGAACAACTTTGCGCCCCCGGACATGGTCGGCCACACGGGCGTGTACGAGGCCGCCGTCGTCGGCGTCGAGGCCACGGACAAGGCCATTGGCAAGATTTACGAGGCCTGCAAGAAGGAAGGGTACGTCCTCTTCATCACCGCCGACCACGGCAACGCCGAGGAGATGAAGTTCCCCGACGGCAAGCCCAAGACGTCGCACACCACCAACAAGGTGCCCTTCATCATGGCCAACGCCCCCGAGGGCTGGAGCCTCAAGAAGGAGGGCGGCGTCCTGGGTGACGTCGCGCCTACCGTCCTGGCTGCGATGGGTCTGCCCCAGCCTGAGGAGATGACTGGCGCGAACCTGCTGTCCAAGGCATAAATAAAGTATTGTTGGGCTTTTACTTTTACGTTTTGGGTTGGGCGGGTTGTTGTCGGCTGACGGCGGAGTTGAGGTGAGGGTGTGTCTTTGGCGAGGGAGGTTTTCATAGGGGAGAAAAGAAAAGTTGAGACTCCGAGAGTGAGGAGTACCGGCGTGTGTTGTAAAGGATTATGATGACAATAGACAACCCTAGAGATAAGAAAATGAGAATACGCTTTGATGACAGATGTGGTTAGAATGACTTTCTCGCGTGAAGCCTTAGGAAGGGAAGTTGGACGGGGTGCAGAATGTTCGCTGGGACCAAGGCTGTGACGGGTGTCAACGTATAGGAATTTGACCTTATGTTTGGCTACCTAGGAAGTTCCCTTCTTATTCCTTGAGCAACAACCAAAAGAAATAAGTGGACAGTCGTTGAGGACGCGAACGTGATGCCCATATCAGCGAAAAGCTGCCGGGTTTCGGGAGTTTGGCTGCAAGTTACGGCACGTTTGACGTCACCACCTCTTCGCACAAGGTTGTGCGATATCGCCTCGCTTCTTCTCAGGACGCATCGATCATCTTGTAAAGCTGGATGTGCGTTAAGGGAAACAATCACGTAGGTATCAAGACGATGGCGGGCTCGGCTTGTAAGGTTAGCGTATGCTTGATTCCGGCGTTTGGGGAAACTTGGGGGCTTCCGGTCCTGGCTTGGGTTATTACCAGAGGAGGGGATCTCTTTGCGGCACCGCCTTCTACTATCTTTGAGCGAGACTCGAGTGGGTTGTGGTACAAGTCATGGTGAGCAACGCATTGGCAATGTAGGCCAGGACTTGTGCTGCAAGGCGTAGCCCCTGATGGAGTGCCACAGTTGAAAGTAGTATGCAGCCGTTTAGTCTATGGCCATTACTGTCCGTGGGTATTTTTACTAAGTCGATCGCTATCTTGAGCTTTTGATTACTACGATGTCGGTGTAAGATGTAGTGACGTTGTCTGGCAGACAAGGTCTAGGGGCGAAATACCTACTAGGTATGACTCTACGGATAAAGACAACTCCACCGAGACGTCTACCATTACATCCTACTAGACCTTTAGGTTGTTTTGATTACCTAGTCTGTACGACTTGCAAGGCTGCTATTGGTCGGGCTTCGAGTTTCATTTACCGTTGTACTATGTAATACGCGGATAGTATCGTACCAGGCGCGTTAGATGTTCCACCATAGACTATACGAAGTTGTCTTGAACGTGAGGTTCGACTTTGATTACCCCCAGCGTCAGACGTAGCTCGTATTACTTCTGATATTGTAGCTTTCTTATTTGAGTTTTGCGATCTGGGCAGTATTACTCTTCAGCTGGATATAGTAGGCAGAAAGTCGACAGACCGGGGTGAAATAGACTCACGCAAAAACGTAGTCTCCACGACTCCATTACTACCCATCAAAGTCAAAATCGACGACAGCCCAGAGAGACAGTCTCTAAAGGCACGGGAGAAACAATGGCATAACGCGAAATGTCCTCTCAAATTTATATATAATATCGCCTGCTTAGACTGTAGGTACTTTCCCCACTAATACGTCATGACGTGAGTTCCTCCGTTGATGGACCAAATGTCACCAGTAATGTACGCCGCATCAGGCGAAATCATAAACGCCAACAGCGCGCCAACCTCCTCCAGCTTGCCCAGTCTCCGCAGAGGGACCCTCTTCAGACCCTCCTGCATGGCCGGGCTGGCGGCGATGCCCCTCTCGAGGGCGGCCGTCAGGATGGGGCCGAGGGCGACGGTGTTGCAGCGGACGTTGTCCGGGCCGTAGGTCGCCGCCGTGTGCCGGGTGAGGGCGTGCACGGCGGCCTTGGACGCCGCGTAGGCTACGCGGATTGGCTCTGGTGTGCCCATGTAGTGGCCGCCCATCTTCAAGTTTTGTCAGTTCTGTGGCTCTTCTTACATGTTTGCCGTAAAACATGATGGGGGGACTTAGGTAGGTGAGCGACTTACACTAGAAATATTGATAATCGTACCGCCGCCCGCCGCCTTCAAATGCGGCAGCGCATACTTGGTCGTGAGAGCATACCCCGTCGTGTTCACCAGAAACGTGCGCTGCCACACGGCGGCGTCCATATCGAGCACCGACTTGTCGTTGCCGAGGTTCTGCGGGCTCAGGTCGGCGCCGATGTTGAGCAGGCTGTCGAGGCCGCCGCCGAGCCACTCTGTGCCCTGGGCGATGAGGTTCTTGATGGACTCCTCGTCGGAAAGATCAAACTCGACGACGAGGGCGCTGCCTCCCGCCGCGGTGATTTCCTCGCCGACCTGTTTGGCGGCGGAAATGTTGATGTCGGCGACGACGACTTTGGCGCCGCGGGCGGCGAGGAGCTTTGCGGTGCCGGCGCCGACGCCTGTTGCTGCGCCGGCTACGATTACGCGGAGTCCTTCGACGCTGGCCATGGTGATCTTCACTAAGAGAGGGTTTGGAACGGGGGCTAGGAAGTGTTATGGAGCTACGGCGAGTCGATCTAGGAATGGGATGATACAACGATTTAGAGATGCAACTTTCAACATTCACTCATACTCCAGGATTCAGCTATCGCTTTCTTATACGTCAATTCTTCAACCCAGCCGAGACTATAAAGCTCATATTCCGTACAGTGTACGAGCTAAAACCACAGCTTGCCGTGCAGCCTGTGCTGTGCTGTGCTGTGTTCTGTTACAACTTTACGATTGGAACGAGGCAGACTCGGGATCGCTTCGTTAAGCACCCCCTGGCAATGCGGAACCGAAACCGAGACCGGGGACAGTCTTTAGGCCTTTGCGGGTTTCATTGGCGCGCGGGGAATTAACAAAACGCTTTTTCCCGCCCAATGCTGGTTCGGCCCAGAGCTTGGCGATGATCCCAAGCTTGACGGATAGCTCCCCCCCCTCAACCTACCTGTCCCTGACTCCTGCAAAGATAATGCTCGCAAAACACACGCCGATGCCATGCTGCGGCCACATGTATGGGCACCTTCTTTGCATATCTTTCGTTAATACGCGGACAGCCTGAGCAATTAGAAATGCCGTCTCGAATGTAATACCCAATGGCAGGGCAGGAAATCGTAATCCTACCCCCCCTTTCGCCGAGCTCGTCGAGTTTGCCTAGGATCCCCCGCTTGCTTAAGCTACCCTAGTTTCCTACTCATGGATGGGGAAACGAGCAAAGGCCAAGGGCAGTGCAAGTTGCATATGCGAAAAGAAGGTTTAGGGAAGCTCGTCTGAACCGTGCCTTGTCGAACAAGACCTGTACCTGTCACCCTATGTTTTGATGAGACGGCTTGGACGTAGAGTCCGAGGAGGTGGATGGAGCGAGGGGGGGAGGGAAGCGAAGGGTTTGGGCGAAACGCAGTCGAACGACTTATATAAAACCACGAGGCACGTCTCTCACTGCCGGACGATGCAATGAACGACAGTTTTCACTCCACCTACCTTACCCTACCCTACCTCTTTTCACTGTGAGCTTGTTTCCTCTCTGACACAGCTCTCACTTCCCCTTTTCGACAGAAGCTTGATCTCTTCTTCTTTCGCCTTGCGATCATGGCGGATTCCTCAAGCGCCGCCGCGACTGCGGTCGCTACGCTGTTGGAGCGCTTCAGCTCGACATCTTCGGTCAAGCTGATTGCCTCGGCTGTGGCCCTCGTCGTCACGATCCTGATGGTCATTGACAAGTTCGTCGCCGCGCCCGTGGATCCCCGCGAGCCCCCCGTCGTCAAGGGCCTTCTCCCCATCATCGGCCACTGGATCACCGTGAACACTTCGTACCCTGGTGTCTACGAGAAGCTGGCGTAAGTTAGCACACCCCAACGCATCCTGATACTGGAGGTCTTGCGGCAGTTCTCTGGGAGGCATCATGGCAAGAACACAATACTAACAACCAAATCTCACACCAACAGTAAACGCACAAAGCTCCCCATCTGCACAATCCCCGTCCTCGGCAAGAAAATGTACGTCATCAACAGCGCGCCCCTCGTCCAGAGCGCCATGCGCAACAAGACGCTCGAGTTCGGCGCCCGCATCGAGGAGATTGGCCGCGCCATGGGCATCAACCCGGACATCACCCACCGCCTCGTCAAGGAGAACGCCGTCGAGGAGATCTCCCGCGTCACCATCTCGGCCCTGTCCGGCGAGAACCTGCTCAAGCTGAACCTGAGCGCGCTCGACTACATTGGCAGCCGCTTCAACGAGGTCAAGCCCGGATCACCTGAGAAGATTGATGATGTGTTTTACTGGGCTCGTGGGTTGATTGGTGTTGCGACGACGAGGGCTTTGTATGGAGAGCATAGCCCGTTCAACAACCTGGAGCTGGTTGATGCTATCTGGTACGTTTTTATTCCGTTCTCCTTACCCTCGCGTTTTCTTTCATTCTCCCTGTAAGTGATATAGCTAACCTTCTCGGCGTAGGACATACGAAAGTGGCATGGGCAAGATGCAATACGGCTGGATCTCCAAAATCATCGCCGGCAAAGCGCTCGAAGCCCGCAAGAAAATCGTCACGGGCCTCGTCGGCTACTACATGCGCAAAATGGACCAAGGGCCGACCGTCTCCGCCACCATCCGCGGCCGCGCCGAGTTCTGGCGCGGCTTCGGCCTCTCGGACATCATGCTCGGCGCCATGGACTCCCTCCCCGCCGCCTCGACCGTCAACACCGCCCCCTCCATGTTCTGGCTCATCGTCAACGTCTTTGCGAACCCCAAGTACCTCGCCCGCGTCCGCGAGGAGGTCGAGTCCTCTGCCGCGCTGGCGATTACCGCCGAGGGCGGAAAGCGCGTTGCTACGATTGACGTTACGGAATTGGGTAAGTCATGCGCCTACGTGGTCGCGTGCTACCGCGAGACGCTCCGCTCGGAGAACACCGTCACTGGCAGCCGGACCGTCACGAGCAAGGACACGACCATCACGGACCACGAGACGGGAAGACAGTACCTCCTCAAGGAGGGCGTCGAGGTGCAGTGGAGCGCGTCCGTGATGCACAAAAAGCCTGTCTGGGGCGAGGACGGCGAGGAGTTCAACCCGGAGCGGTGGCTCAAGAACACGCCCGACATTGCAAAGGGCACAAAGGAGTCGTTTGTGCCGTTTGGCGGCGGCAAGCATCTCTGCCCCGGCCGTAACTTTGCGTTTGCCGAGTTGTTGGGCGCGGTGGCGTGCTTGGCTGTCGGATTTGAGCTCGAGGGCGTGCAGGTGCCGGATCATGAGATGCCGTTTTCTACTTCTGGTCTTCGTTCGCCTATTTATGGAAGCAAGTCTAGCAAGGCGACTCTTTCGAGGCGGGCTGGATGGGAGGATGTTGAGTGGAGATTCAAATAGAGGATCGAGGTGCTATTTGTTAAGACGTACCGGTTTTCTCAGGGGTTGATATACATGATTGGCGTAGTAGGATAGGGGTTTATTATGTTCATAGGTATGAGACTGAGATAAATACCATCAGAATTTCCTTTCTGTTCAATCTCAACCTTCACAGCTCTTATCGAGAGGTAACGCTGTACATCGCCACACTGCGCACTTAGCTTAGACCAGAAGAAATGCGGCTTCGGCGAGTTCAGGAGCTTTGAGCTTTCGCCTCAGTTTCGATTCCAGGCTCTCGATGTCATCAGCATTATCTCCCCAACAATGGTCTTCGTCACCCCAGTGCATGATGCCGTCAGCATAACAGCTTCCGACCATAGTACACCGATGCGTGCCCATGATACTTTCCGTTTGATGAACCATCGAAGACTCAGTATAGATTGTCCCAACGTGTTTCCGTAGAATGTACGGCACAAGTCCACCTTCAAGGACGCAGAGCGAGTCTCCCTCGTGCATGCTCTCCGGGCCCAGCCCAACTTGGCCTCGATTAGTGACGAATAGTCGGTTTCCGGCGGCCATAGTCCTGACGGTGTCCTCAATCCACGGTGGAACGTGCAGATTTGACGGTGCTCGTAAATCATAATCCTTAGGTAGCGTAACTAGCCTAAAGCCACCAGGCCCGGCCACTAGAGTTCTTATATGCTCCCGATTGCGGTGTTGTATTGGGCAAAAGAACCCTTGTAGGGGACTTCCCAGTGAGCCAAGGGCGTCAACTTCACAGCCGTCGGCACAAGCTGCGGCTTCGTGCAAAAATTCCTGTCCCAGTTCTGGCAGAGTACCTATAACCTCCAGGTATTCTATGTATTGATTAAAGGCCCATATGGCGAGTTCGTGTCGTTTCTGTGATTCGAGTGTCTCGGGATGTCCGCCATCTTCGCACAGGATCTGCATAGATGAGGAAAGACAGGTTGCGACAGTCTCGAAAAACGATCTCTGGCCAAGCTGCCAACCTCCATGTCCCCCGTAGCTTTCTTGAGCCTGAAGAAGGGCCAGACCAATGTTCGAAAGGTCACTGAGGATGACAACGCTTGCAGACACAACGACGCCACAAGTTACGCCTTTAAGAATCAACGCAGAACGCTGCCGGTCCTTTTGGAATGGATGGCTTGGTGTGTATTTAATCATACTCGGGAGGCAGTGCACCGGTTTCCACCTGTCTCGGTCGTCCCCCTTAAGTAATTCTTCGAAGTGTTGTTGAGGTAATGCATATCTGGGTTGATCATCCGGCGAAAGTAGTGGTGAGTGACAAAACCGTAGACGGCTTGCGTTGAAGTGCAGGAGGGTTTCTTCTTGAAAGCGGTATCGTCTCTGATTGTACCCAGGAACCATGTGCTCAGAAGACCAGTCTGGCACCCAAGAAGGCATGTCCATGCGACTCTTGGCGAGTAAATCTGTTGTCGTCATCCAGAGGAGACCAGTGTCGCGGATGATGCTGTATGCCGCATCGGCAAACACTTCACCAACATCAACGTCGTAGTCAACCGTGATGCATAACTGGTTATATCGAAGAAATGGCTTTGTCGTTCTCAGATCCTCAGCAAGTCGCAAAAGAGCAAATATCTTGTCTCGCGGTTCTGAAGATTTACGACTGCGGAATCTTCTTAGAAGCCACAACAGGGAGTTGCTTGACGTAAAGTGCGCCAAGCTGCCAACGGTGCTTAATCCGAGGCGGAGAGGGCTGATTGCGTCTATCTTGCCCGCCATGAAAATCGCTACCTTGGCCAAATCTGGGTATTTTGTAATAGGTGAATGCAGAAATGCTCGAGCCGCGTGTCCGATGCAGATAAAAGGGATAGATGCGCGACCGTAAACTACGGTAAGCTGTCGAGCGACACATGCCTCTTGGACAATCCACATCCGATTCCACCAGTCGCTTGTCGCAAAATGTCGCATTCTTTCAGAAAGAAGTCGTAGATGTGCTTCGCTGAGATCGAGCCACATAAATTTCTGTCCTGACGACTGCTTGCTCGGAAAGTTGTGGTATTCGGAAGGTCCGGAAAACTCCATGAGAAGGCGGTATAGACACACGATCTCTTCATGTTCAGTGAGCGATTTCGGTTGGGAGTACTTCCACTTGTCCCAGAGCTCCTGAACCTCTATTCCGAGGATGTCCCCATGCATCAGGGGCCCCTTCAAGCTGCCAGCTGCACCCAGTCTGGTGAGGCTGGCCTCAACCAGTGAACTGAAATCGGTCAGAGGATTCTTCCCAAGCTTTTCAAAACGACGTGCGTAGTCCTTGCGACTTTGATCTAGGCCATCTCCAATATAGGCAATGACTTCAGTAGCTGAACTAAAGACATCGTGCATCATGCCGACTTGTTGACTCTTTTCTGCAGCGTCATCTTGATTGATGCAGATGGAGTCGACCCAGAGAGTGATTGATCCTATCTGCCTTCGGACAGCGCGCAAGGCTCTATCCAGATTGAATGTGATCTTGTGGACCTTGCCGTTGACGGCGATCTGGTTTGACCGCTTCGAGCTTCCCCATGCATAGGACAAGGCTTGATACTCATGATCTCGATTGGCCACGTACAGCCTACAGTCGAGGCCATCGAGCCATTCTCCCGGGAATAGCTGAATTAGTCGGATCTCATTGACGGCAAGTTTCTCGTCGTACGTGAACGTCGACATCATCTGAGCCAAGCAAGTGATAAACAAGCCCTTCTAGCGGGTAAAGTGATAGTCGAGGACTAGAATACTTGTAAAATTGCTGACGAAGGCGATGAAATAGGCAGACACAAGAGAGGGAGCCAAGTCAGCCTGCATCACGCGAGCCCGCTGATTGGCGTGAGAACATTCTTTCGGACTGCCTTGATCAGCTTAAGACGCATGCCCTGTCAAGCTTCTCCAGAGTAAGCGCCGAGATAAAAACCTGTCATAGTTAGCATATTCAGAATGACTGTATATCAAGAATGCGGTAGAGCATGGATCCTCGTAAGATAGACTCGGTTATCAACAATTGATCAATCATGAGTCGAGAATATGGAAAGAACTGTTGATGTTGAATCTACGCCTGGGTTTTGGCGGGGAAGTGGCAGGGGTCGAGAGTACCCCTCCTCAATTACATAATCCAGCTCAAGTAAGGCAGCCACACCTTGGTCCGTGCCCGGGGAACATCACGAAAGGCTGCAATAATTTTTTGGAGCTCCAGAAGCTTCTTGGGCCACGAACAGCACAAGTACAGCCTCTCCCCGCGACGACATACGAATCCCGAACATACCGTCGAGTGTCACCCCTACCGCTGTACTCGTCGCATCGAAATAATCCCCCAAAATGTCGTTCGGAGGCCAGACCCCGACCATTATTGTCCTGAAAGAGGGTGCGCTACCCCACCGCCTTCCCCTTGCCGACCTGGAAACTGTGACTGACGAGCATGTTGCGCAGGAACCGATACCTCTCAGGGCAAGGGTCAGATTATCTCCAACATCAACGCCTGCTTGGCTGTCCAGGCCACGATCAAGTCTACTCTCGGTCCCTATGGAGGTGACCTCTTGATGGTTGATGCCAACGGCAGACAGACTATCACCAACGATGGCGCTACTGTTATGAAGGTTGGAAGGACCGCAAGGATTGTTTTCGGGAGACTTAGGCATACTGACACGCATATAGCTCCTCGACATCATCCACCCCGCAGCCCGAATCCTCGTCGACATTGCGAGATCACAAGATGCTGAGGTCGGTGACGGCACAACGTCCGTCGTCGTCTTGGCTGGAGAGATCCTGAAGGAGATCAAGGAGCACGTCGAGCAGGGCGTCAGCTCCCAGGTTATTATCAAGGGTCTGCGGAGAGCGTCTATGATGGCCGTCAACAAGATCAAGGAGATTGCTATCGACACCAACGAGAGCAACAGAAGGGAAACGCTCGGCAAGCTGGCGGCTACCGCCATGACGAGCAAGCTGATTAAGCGCAACACCGAGTTCTTCACAAAGAGTACGTTGGACGCACCCCTTCAATGACACAAATGCTAATCGGGCGCAGTGGTCGTGGACGCCGTCCTCTCCCTGGACCAGGACGACCTGAACGAGAAGTTGATCGGCGTGAAAAAGATTCCCGGCGGTTCCCTCACCGAGTCACTATTCGTCAACGGTGTCGCATTCAAGAAGACATTCTCCTACGCCGGTTTCGAGCAACAACCCAAGTCTTTCGAGAAGCCCAAGATTGTGTGCTTGAACGTCGAGTTGGAGCTCAAGGCCGAGAAGGACAATGCCGAGGTCCGCGTCGAGCAGGTGTCCGATTACCAGGCCGTTGTCGACGCTGAGTGGCAGATTATCTACAAGAAGTTGGAGGCTATCTACAAGACGGGAGCAAAGGTTGTGCTTAGCAAGCTGCCCATTGGTGACTTGGCTACCCAGTACTTCGCAGACCGCGACATCTTCTGCGCTGGTCGCGTCACATCCGAGGATATGGAGCGTGTGGTCCAGGCCACCGGCGCCACTGTCCAGTCTACATGCTCAGATATCCTCGCGGAGCACCTGGGTACCTGCGGCAGCTTCGACGAGCGCCAGATCGGAGGCGAGCGTTTCAACTTCTTCGAGGGCTGCCCCGAGGCCAAGACCTGCACACTCGTCCTCCGTGGCGGTGCTGAGCAGTTCATCGCCGAGGTCGAGCGCTCGCTGCACGACGCCATCATGATCGTCAAGCGCGCCATCAAGAACCACACTATCGTCGGTGGTGGTGGTGCCGCCGAGATGGAGGTGTCCGCATACCTCCACCGCTTCGCCGACAAGAACATCCCCCACAAGCAACAAGCCATCATCAAGAGCTTCGCCAAGGCTCTCGAGATCATCCCCCGCCAGCTCTGCGACAATGCCGGTTTCGACGCGACCGACATCCTCAACAAGCTGCGCGTGGAGCACCGCAAGGGCAGCACCTGGGCCGGTGTCGACTTCATCAACGAGGGCATCGCCGACATGATGGAGCGCTTCGTGTGGGAGCCTGCGCTGGTCAAGATCAACGCCATCCAGGCCGCCACCGAGGCCAGTTGCCTCATCCTCGGCGTCGACGAGACCATCCGCAACGAGGAGAGCGCGCAGCCCCAGGCTCCTGGCCAGCAGCTGCCCCCGGGCGCCGCACAGCGCGCTCTGAGAGGAAGAGGACGGGGCATGCCTCGTCGGTAAAGAGGGGGGGTTTTATGACCGGGTTAAATGAATGAGAATCAAAAAAGGAAATCAAAATTCAGGAATCGATGAAATGGCGTCTGTATGATACCTAGAACTGGCCCCCAGGGGCTTTGGCTTTAAGAAGTCCGAATAGACTGGGTCATTTGTCGTCTGTCATGAACGCCTGCGCTCCAATCTTCTGTGCGTGATATCCCTTCATGTCTTTGTAAGCGGGGCTATCATCTGAAAAGGCCTAGACCAGTCTAATATGCTGAAACCTGAGTAGGTGTTAAAAATGCAGTGAAGGCAAAGTTGAGACCGCAAAGCTAGGTCACTTTCCTATTGCGTCCATTGATTCGACTTGAACGAGGTAAGGCAGCCAGCTAAAGCCTGGAATGGGCTGGACATGCAGCAAAGATGGTCTTGATTGGCCTACCTACGGGCGTGGCACAGCACAGTTGGCCGCAGTCTTCGATCATGAGCAATCGAAACCGTTGGGGGGTGTTGAAAATGCAGTGAAAATGGTTCGGACAGGTTGGTTCGCCTGCACTTGGTCCGCCTTGACTGGCCTATCTTGCTCTACGATACATCACTTCATTGGCTCGGTCATCAACTCTAGATATCAAGCAAAGCCCTTTGGGAGGGGTTAAAACTGCAGTGAATTCGCTTGTGGCGAACGGTTCGCAAACTCGGGTCGCCTTTCCAGGCCCCAAACGAACAAACTAGCGTAGGCGCATCCAGGAGTTCCCCTCTCTTGGTGTGCAGATACATCACACTCAAGACTTTCAAACGACTCTTCATCAAGCTCACCAACGCCTCAGTAGACCTCCTGGCTAATTAAGACTGGTCCAGCCCGTGAAGACAGTATCTGGCGGTAAGAACTCAACTCCCGAGACTGATTCATCCCTGTAGATGATTCCCGCGTGACATCTCGATGAGACATTCACAAGCTGGCAGAGTTGTCGTTGGAAACACATCGAGGTGGATGAGAAACGTTGCCGATGGTCTCTTAAAGTCTTTGAGTTCAGGACGCTTTCGATTCTGCTTGCTGGCAATGCGTCCCACCACAGTATCTCGATAGCTGTAATCTCCTACGTGCAAACCTCGAACCTTTGACTGGGTTCGTGTCTAAATTCTCAAAGAAATCCTCCCAGTCAGGCGCTACCAGCGTTCACATCTAATCCCGCCACATGGCCATCGAGAGCTGTGTAAGTGATATTACATCACCGTGAAGATACTACTTGACAATGATGACCGGCCAGCTGCCCTCTTCCTCTCTCGGTTGGAATTATCTTGGTGGCATTAAGAAACACAGTGAAGTCGGTCTCGTTAAAGGGGGCGAAACCTCTGAAAAGGAGCCCGACTGTCTTTCCTGCAAAGCCCTTGTGTGGGCTAAAATTGCAGTGAAGTGTAATATTTGCCTGCCTGCTTCCCATTTCTTCCGGCTGTGGTTGGCGACCAATCGCATCAAAGAGCCATACCCCATCACAATGCAGCATATGAGGTCGAAGTCTTTTCCACAGGGTCATCGGGTGGGTTAAGATTGCTGTGTAAATACCCAGATCTCCGTCGCCCTGGCATGTGGGATACTATCGTATTCAATGCAGCTGTACCAGTCTTGTAACCCTTTCCGCGATGCCATGTCTTCTATCAGAAGTCAAGAGGACGAAGAATTCGAAAATCTTCTCAAGGGGGGAAAGAAAGGAAAAGGAAAGGTCATCAATGGTGAATCGAACAAAAGGTTAGGTCGAGTGAGGCCTCGGACTTATGGATTAATCTATGACTCCCTCCAAATACCCCTCAGCCACGTTCCCCTTGTGCCTCTTATGGCAGGAGAGAAGGTGAAAGTGGTCTAAGTACCTCACGGGTGGATGTCACTCCTTCCTTTCCAAGGAGTAGGTATTCGAGGACTCGGGTATATTCACAGGAATACCTGGGGTTTCTCGGTGAGTACGTTATCATACCGTACCTCGATATCTTAAGCATCGACATTCAGCAGAATCCGTCAAGCACTTGAAACGATAATAAGGCCCAGGCACCAAGATACCACCATCTCATCTCGATGGAGGCCTCAAAATCCGAGCAGGCTGTCCCATATAAAAATAGAACACAAAAGTCATGTACTCATCACTCAAAGCACCATGTTCCTCACCGCCCGTCACTCGGGGCCACACCTGGAATGTACCACCCCCAACAGATTCAGCTATACAAGGCCGCAAGCACAATCGTAAGGACCTAGAAGCAGTCACTCCGACGGCAAGCCGACTAGCTCTCGACGGCTGCCACCTTTGCTGAAGATGTTTTGCATTCCAACAGGTGGAACCCCGAGGTCACACGCACCGGCTCCCATGACGAACTCTTCTTCCGCTCAGGAATGTGATGTAAAAGTCGGAGAGAAAAGGAAAAGAAAAGTCTCATAGCAAAAGTCTCACAGCCGCTGTTGGCGAGTCACAAGATATCAGCAGCCACATACGTTGGAAACATTTGTTGCACATAGTCTCAGCAGTCATACACGTCGAACACATTTGATTCACAGTCATAGTCATAGTCACAGTCACAGTTACTCAAACAATTTGAAATCCATCCCAAATTCAATTCATCGTATCTCTTCTATCGCGTAATCCAAGAACCCATCCGTGTCGCAAGGCACACGCGCGGTCGCCCAGCGCCAGAAATCGGGTTCATGTTCCATTCCAAATCCCATTGCCGTATACCAGAAAAGATCAAAGCCAGAAACCGCCGCTGATCGCCGAGAATACCCAAATCATTACCGAAAAAAAATAACCCATAGACCGAACATTTTGATACCCCATTGTGATAGTACATCCGTCCAGCGAACGAAGAACGTCGCGATAACCCGTCGTCATTACATGGTCCCGT